TTATTTATTTATTAAAGATTTTATTGGGGAATGGGGGAAGGGGAACAGCCAAGTTGTTGTCCTTCACTCTTAGTTATGGAGGGCGCAGCTAGCTCAGCTCCAAGTCTAGTCACTATCTGGCTGCCGTTGGCAGCTTGCAGCCGCTCAGCTCAAGGTGCTGTGTTCAGTCTTAGTTGTGGGTGGGCGTAGCCCACCATCCCATGCAGGAGTTGAACCGGCAACTTGTTGTTAGGAGCACGTGCTCTCACCAGCTGAGCCATCCTGCCACCTGTTGGCAACTCAGCAACAGCTCAGCTCAGACACAGCTCCCTGACCCATGTGGGAATCGAACTGGTGACCCTGTTGCTCAGAGCTCGCGCTTTTAACCAACTGAGCCACCCAGCTGGCCCTGAAATGTTTATCTAAATGGGGTGTTTTTTTGTTTGGGCAAGGGGTTTGAGTAGAATTTCAAGTCAACAATTTTACAAAGGAAAAAATTTACAAACTATGGCTTTTGCCAAGCAAAAAGGGAAAGGCAAGTTAGGCATCTAGGGGAAATGGCAGACTGCCTTGGGTGCTGACTGCAGAGTGGCCCTAACTGGCCTGGGCTCTGCCCCCGCCCCCCGGCCCCCCACCGGCCAGGACTCAGAAGTCTTCACTCCAGTTCCTGTGATGGCCTGTTTCGCAGCGCTGCTCTCCCCCGGCTCTCCCCCTGGCTGTCTTCCTTCTCAAGTTCACCGCCAAGTGTTTCTCATGAGCTTACGAAAGGCGAATGGGATCCAGTCCCTGCATTGATCTTGTTGGGCTGCGGGTAGGGACAGGCTTAAATACAACAAAAATAAGAAGATAGACTGTGAGGTGTGGCACAAGAGATGGAAACAAAATGCTGCGTGTACTTCCAGTCAGAAAATTAGGCAGTTGAAAGGAGGAGGTAGCATTTGCAGTGAACTTGGAAGGCTTGGCGAGCTTTTGGTAATGGACGCAGGCAGGGAAAAGGGGCTCAGCACTCAGGCTTTAAGAAAAGGGATAGAGGTGTACAGCAACGAAACGTCTAGTGGCTGCTTTTTTTATGCATAGGAAAATGAGGCGAAATCAGGTTCAAAGGGGACAATTTGTGTGACGTTGTGGAGGGTCTTGACTGCCAGGCTGGGAGCTTATACCTCAGTCCCAAGGCCCTTGAGGGTTATATCTGGGCCTCGAAGGCTGACATGGGCCTGGGCACAGCAGGCACCCCACCGAGCCGGTCGAGGTGGTGCTGGGCAGGCGTTAGGCGCGAAGGCCTGGGTCTGAATCTCAGAGAGTCATCCCTTACAAGCTCTGGTGTGCTTCTTACTGCTTGGTGTCTCAGTTTCCTGCTCTTGAGTGTGGGGATGAGAAGCCTAGTCTCATTGTATAGGGCGCTGGGAGGAGCGAGCAAATGGACCCCCAGGAAGCCTGGCCCGCCGTGAGCCCCCAGCACAGGCTGGCGATGACCAGACCTGAGTCCCCGGGTGCCTGCTCAGTGCACCTTTGTCTGAGGTTAGCGTGGAAAGGCGGCCCCTCACACAACCTTATGTAGCAGTCGAGCCGGCCGGCTATAAACCGGTGGCTTCCTGGAAGCTGCTCCTGGGCTTGTCTCTGAGTAAGTCATGATGAATGGTGATGTGGTTCACGCCGTTACAAATTCCCGATTACATGATAAGCCTGTCATGTTTATGTGGTGAGACTCCTTCTGATTTCATAACTTTTGCAAATCCAGATGCTCTGCCTACAAAGAAATACTGACTTTGGCAGCCACGAGTGAAGCAAGTTCATGCCATTTTTCAGGAGGTTCTGTCTCGATTCATGTAAGAATTGCAGAGACTGTGGGAAACCTGTTTTCTCCTTTACCTGGTTGGTTAGCAGGAGCTGTTTTGTTAAAGTGACACTAACGCTTTAACTTTCTTACTTTCGCTGCTTTGCTTTTTCTTTAGCACTGTCGGAGACTCTTACCTTTTCCCGTCTGTTCATCTAAATTAAAGATAAGAAATAACCGACAGTGAGTCACCCCCTCCTATAGGAATGGGCACTGATGAGCAATTCATGTTTCTTGTTAAGGTTGGCTGTTTCCAGAGTCCATTCGCATCAAAACCTTTTGTTTTGAAATTCCAGTGTATGTGAGAGAACCCCTGTCAGCTCAATTCTAGAATAATTAGAGTTTTTTAAAATCTTCATTTCTAAGAAATATATAAATGTTTGGCTTTATTTGTTTTTTTCCCCCCATTTATGTTTTATTATGAGAATTTTGCTGGATGACACTCCTGGGAAGCATTTTTATTATGAATGCCCCCCTTCCACCCCTTTTATTTTTATTTATTTATTTATTTATTTATTTATCCTACTAAGAGTTTATTATAAATTTGCTTCACACCACAAGGAAATAAAAGGACTATGTACAGCCTTTCGGAACAGGCAAGGAGCTGAGGAGGGCCAAGATGAGTCTAGGGCCTTGGTGGGCGCATTCCTAAGGGAGGGGGCCCTGTAAGGGAAACCAGACAATCCGGTGAGACTCCACGAACAACGGCATAACAAACAAACAGGTCTGCAGTAATGTGGCCCTGAGGAACCGGGCTCACGCCTCTGTGTGGCTACTTCCATAACTCTGTGGCCAAGGGTCAAAGAAGGCCTCGCATCCCTGGGGGAGGGGGCCGCATCCCTGGAGGGGGCATGCCCATTGGAGTTCCTCGTCCCGGGGGGATTCCCATTGGGGGACCCATGGGAGGCCTCATACCAGGAGGTGGGCCCATCATGCCTGGAGGGGGTGCCCCTCGACCCATAGGTGGGGGAGGACCCCCACGGCCGGGTGGGTACTGGGTTGGGGCCCCTGCAATACTGGCTGTGGCAGCAGCTGCAGCAGCTGCAACAGTGCCTCTTCCTTGGGGGGTCATCACCTGTTGGGATGGCCCACCAACCCCACGGACTGGCCCAGCAAGTCCTGCAGGAGCCTGAGGCATGGGAACACCAGCTGGGATTCCTCTGCCAGCAGCCCTGCCAATCCCTGGGCCCCCAGCAGCTCCAGCAAGTGGCACTCGGGCAATACCAGTATCTTTGGGAGGAGGTCCCTCTACTGTCATTGAGACCAGGTTCTCCCCACGAAGCAGCACCAGACCGAGGACTCGCTTCTCTTCTCTCTCTGCCTGTTTTGAGTTCTTTGGCTTGATCTTCCTGAATTCATCGCAGTCACATAGGATCAAGTTCATATGCTTGTCGAAAGCCTTGAAGGTGCCAATGAAGATACGACCATCTTGCAGGATGCACCTCATCCTGTAGTCGATGTGCTCTTGCCCACCGTCATGGTGGCGGCTCTGATGGCTCGGATTCCCGCCGGATTCGCCTGTGCGGAGGCCTACAGGGCCTCCAGTAGCCAGCTTCCCGCCGCCGCTCCCCCTTCCACCCCTTTTAAAGCTACATGGCATTCGCAGAAGGATAGTGAATGACCAGTCCAGTCACAGAGCTACCAGGGGGTGGAGTTGGGCCTTAAACTCAGGTCTTCTGATGCCCCCACCCCCGGGTTCAGGTCTTTTTCTCCATTTCAAGCCCTTTCCATGTCTCAGGAACACAGGCTGATTGTCTGTAGAGGTGGCACAAATATTCACCTATGGGGCATAACCTGATGGGTCCAGAAGTCCTCCAGTTTCAAAGTAGCTCCCGCCCTGGTTTGCCGCAACGCTAGGCTCCCAGCTCAGAGAGCGAGTCCTGTGAGTTAAGCAGGTCTGGATGCCCGGTTAAGCCCTGTGTTAAAGGGCAGAGAGCTCTTAAAGGAGCACCATCAACTCCCTCCCGTCATTATTACCTAGTATGTATGATGCGCCTGTGCAGGCAGACTCACCTTCTACATGAAGCCATAGACCACAAGGATCCAAGTGTGTGGCACGTGGTACAGATATATTTTGACAAGTCAGACAGATGGCATATTAGTCTGGGTCTGCGGCCAAGGAAGGAATGGATCTGATGGAGTAGGGTCAACACAAGGGCAGGATTGTGAAGCAAACAGGGTAGACGTTTGGGCAAAGGGCCATAGGAAGAAGCATGCATTGTTGTGTCCTAATGGCTTTATTTTTTTAAAGATAGTTTAGGACTAAAAGTTGTAAGGCAGATTAGCAAGTCTGAGTGCTTGTAGCATCATTTTAGGACATACTTTAAGTCAGGTACCTAGTATGTGCCTGTGCTAGGCGTGTGAGAGAAATATGGGACACGCCTGTCCTCTGGAACCTGCTTCTTATAACACAGTGTGTCAGGGTTATGATGATGATGATGATGATGATGATGGCGATGATGATGGTGGTGATGATGGTGGTGATGATGATGGTGATGGTGATGATTGGTGATGATGATGATGGTGATGGTGATGATGGTGATAGTGGTGATGATGGTGATGATGGTGATGGTGGTGGTGATGATGGTGATAGTGGTGATGATGATGATGGTGATAGTGGTGGTGATGGTGATGATTGGTGATGGTGGTGATGATGATGGTGGTGATGGTGATGATGATGGTGATGATGGTGATGATGATGATGGTGGTGATGGTGGTGGTGATGATGATGATGGTGGTAGTGATGGTGAGAATTTTAGCTAGATGGTGTTTACCATGAGCCAGGCACTTTTCAGATACTAGCTTATTTAATTTCTACAAAAATGAAATAGATAATACTGTAACTATCCCCACTTTACAGATGGTAAGAAAGTAAGGCACGGAGAGGTTAAGTAGCTCCCCTAAGGTCATGCAGCTAGTCATGGCAGAGCTGAGATTTGCACTCTCTCAGTCTGTCTGCAGAGGCTGTGCTGTTCACCCCATGACAGGGTGGGGACGGCACCTGACTCCCTCTGCGGGGTGGTCATGAAAGGTGGGACTAAGCAAGGTCTTTCAGAGAGGATTTTAGAACAAGACACACAGTGTAATTACCTTGCTTGGTAATCAAATAAATCCTAAAAGGAGATTTTCTTTTGTCTTTGGTAAGTATGTTTCTTATAAAAAATGGTTTAATTTTTCCTTTTTAAATATTACCATGAAGTGGATTTGTCATATGTATGTGTAATAATAATATTAGTATTATTATTAGTCTTAAGGTACCTAGGGGCTTCCAAATAACATTCCAACGTTCATGAAGGTTAAATGATACAAATAGGCGTACATTGAATACGAGATAGTCTTGCTTTTTGCTCCTATCTGTGGATTCAATATAAAGGCTTCCAACATTATTGCAATGTCATATCTTGCTTTACACTGATCACTTGGTGAATTTTTATTGTTGGGAAATACACTTACTGTCTTTCCCTTGCTCTGATGAAATCTTAGGTTACAGGTAAGTAGGGCATAGGTGTGGTGGGGTAGGAGGCACTTGCACTTTTCACCTGAGTTTTCTTCCGTCCCTCATGGTGTTGGTTGGGCAGGTCCCGTCCACCTGATGGTAAAATGATGAGTGTCCTCCAGGCTCCTAATAGGGGTCAAACTGGACAAATGGACAGCTTACCTGAAAAATCCAAACAGGAAATCTATGCTGAGTAGAGACACATTACCACATTAGATCATAACCCACTGAGGATATGAAGCCAAGAGGCAGAGTTGTTCCAGCAGCCCCAGGAAGCTGGTCATGTCCCTGTCCCTAGAAGAGACGGCTGGCTGGAGTCAGCGCAGCAGAAGTGCTGCCGGCCTGCGTGGCTGGGCTGTGGTCGGGCGTGGAGGGGAGCAGGCAGTCGGGGCCAGCAGAGCCTCGGCTTCTAGGAAGGATGAGAGGCCAGGAGCTGCTTGTCCAACTGCCATGCACTCTGGAGTCCCAGCATCCTGGAAGCATGTGTCACTGTGAACATAAACTTAAAATTCTTCAGGATCCTAAAGATCAAGAAAATCTTGTTCTCAGAAGTGCAGTGGCTTGATTCTGGGGAAGAAAAGTATTAATGTAAAAATGTTCTTTCCCTTTAGATCTACGGAGTTGGATTCTAACTGGTCTTGGTTTCAGCTGCGATGCATGCAAGTTGGAGGAAACGCTAATGCAGTGAGTTCATCTCAGGCTTGTTTTCCTTCTGTGTAAATATGTGTTCCACTGGTGAAGGAGTTCAGGGCTGGCAGTGTTTGGGAGGCCCTGCCGAATAATGGGAAAACATGAGGGACTTTGGAGTCGGACCATCTGGTTGACTTGTTTATCCCAAAATCTGTTAAACACCTGATAAACGTGAAGCTTTGGGCTAGGTGCTGGGATATGTGACGAACAAGACAAATGAGGTCCCCTCTCTCCTAGGCAGGGACAAATAGTCATTAAATAAGTAAGGCAACAAAGTAACAGGTGGTGATTGTGCTTTAAAGAAAATTAAAACAGGGAGCGATGATATAAAGGAATTGGGAGTCTTGTTTATGACAATGACAATAGTTTTTTAATATGTGAGGGTGACTTTTGTGCTTAGAATGGAATGAATGCTTATAGCTGCTTACATCTGAATTTTATTTATTAAATCTACAAGTAAAAACATCTGCTCTCCCAATCTTCAAATATAGTATATAAATATCATATATTAATTTATAAACTGAGTAATTTCTGTGCAAAAAGATAACCAGTTAAGTGTTGGTCACTTAATTTATAATTCTTAAAAAGCAGATTTTCTCAACCCTACTTACAAACCTAACTAAGGATCCTCAACTATTTTAAACTTCATGACAAATTCAGTATATCTGATTTCTCAAACACTGAACTGGCAAAATCACTTGAAGCACTGATATCCTATTTATAGTGCTGAACAGGAGAGGGTGAGTAAATGGAATCCTTTCAGACATGCCAGTAAACATTCAAAGTGCTATAAGAAATCAAATTTGTGTGTATTTTAAATAAAAATTATATCTAGCGGGCTGGCCGAGTGGCGTGTTGGTTAAGAGTTGGCTTGGGATGCCAGCTCTGAGCAGCAGGGCCCCAGTTCAGATCCCACATTAGGGCCAGTGATGCTGCGCCCTCTACAGCTAAGATGGTGAACAACAGCTCCACCTGGAGCTGGGCTGCTGTGAGTCGCCGGCGATGGCGTAGGCTGCAGTGGGGCTGGCTGGCAGCTGGCGTGAGCTTTCGTGAGCTGCTGTGAGCAGCTGTGAGTGGCTGTCCGATGGCTGGTGAGCAACTGCCTCTCCCGGGAAGAGCGCAATGATAATACAACATGGGCCAATGAAGCGACATCCTCCACAGCTACCGTATTTGCCGGCGTATAAGACGATTTTTTGGCCCTGAAAAATATGCCTCCAAGTGGGGGGTCGTCTTATACGCCAGGTACACTTCAGATAGACTG